TATGACAACTTATAATGATCATAAATGGTTCCAAAACGGAATTATACTAGCCTGAGATGTATCTCTTAAAATTTCAAGACTTTTCGACATTGAGCCTCGAAACCTTCAAAATTTCTCAAAAAATGTGGATGTTAGTCTTCAATTTTGGAATATTTTGACTGTTTTTCGCGCGGAAATAAATATTACCGAAATGTTTACCATGGGCTCTAATACCTTCTAGGAGTCCAATTGGTTGGGTGGTACCATCCAATTTGCCTTTAAACAGCCAATTTATTGATTTACAACTTGCGTTGATTTCATTAATTCAAGCCTACCACGAACCTTTATGACAACATATAATGATCATATATGATTCCAAAGGATATTATATGACTAAGACATATCTCCTAAAATCTCAAGTCTTTTCGACACTAGGCCCTAAAACCTCCGAAATTTCTCAAAAATCGTGGATATTAGCCTTCAATTTTGGAATTTTTTGACTTTTTTTAGCCCCAAAATAAAAATTGTCGAAATATTTAAAATGGTCCCTAATACCCTTTGGGAGTCCAATTGGGTGGGTGGAACCACTCAATTTGCCTTAAAACAGCCAATTTATCGATTTACAACTTGCAACGATTTCATTTATTCAAGCATACAACGAACATTTATAACAACACATAATGATCATATATGGTTCCAAACGACATTATATGACTCCGAGATATATCCCCTAAAATCTCAAGCCTTTTCGACACCGGGTCCCGAAACCTTCAAAATCACTCAAAAAACGTGTATATTAGCCTTTAATTTTTGAATTTTTTTGACTTTTTTCGCCCTGAAATAAAATTTTCCTAAATGTTTACCATGGTCCCTAATACCCTATTGGAGTCCATAATTTAGAATTTGGATGGTGGAACCATCCAATTTGCCTTTACACGGCCAATTTACCGATTTACTACTTGCACCGATTTAATTTTTACTCAATCCTACCACGAACATTAAAGACAACATATAATGATCATACATGGTTCCAAACGGCATTATATGACCCCGAGATGTATCCCTAAAATCTCAAGGATTTTTGATACCGAGACTCGAAACCTTCGAAATTTCTCAAAAAGCGTGGATATTAGATTTCAATTTTGATATATTCTGACTTGTTTTCGCCCGAAAATTAAAAATTTCCAAAATATTTGCCATGATCTCTAATACCCTCCGAGTGTCCAATTGGGTGGGTGGAACTATCAATTTGGCTTTAAACAACCAATTTACCAGTTTACAACTTGAATTGATTCATTAACTCAACCCTACCACGAACTTTTATGACAACATATAATAATCATATATGATTCCAAACGGCATAATATGACCCCGAAATGTATTCCCTAAAACATTCAAAATTTCGCAAAATGCGTGGATAATTATACTTCAATTTTGGAATTCTCTGACTTTTATTGGCCCGGAAATAAAAATTGACGTAAGTTTTACAATGGTCCCTAATACCTTCGGAAGTACACCTCAGTGGGTGAAACCATCCAATTTTCCTTTAAACAGTCGATTTAGCGGTTTACAACTTGCACCGATTTCATTAACTCAAGTCTACCACGAACATTTATGACAACAAATATTGATCATATATGGTTCCAAACGATATAATATGGCCTCGAAATGTGTTCACTTAAATTCCAAGACTTTTCGACATCAAGCCTCGAAACCTCCAAAAATTATAAAAAAAAGTGGATATTGGAGTTCAATTTTGGAGTTTTTTTTCGTACGGAAATAAAAATGTTCGAAATTTTACCATGGTCACTAATACTTTTCGGGAGTCCGATTGGGTAGGTGTAACCATCCAATTTTCCTTTAAACGGTCAATTTACCGATTTACCATTTGCACCGATTTATTTAATTCAAGTCTTCCACGAACATTTATGACAACATATAATGATCATATAAGGTTCCAAACGTCATTATATATTGAGATGCATTCCCTAAAAGCTCAAGGTTTTTCGACATCGTATCCAACTGCAAAAATTTCTCAAAAAGCGTGGATATAAGCCTTTAATTTTTGAATTTTTTATCTTTTTTCTGCCAAAAATAAAAATTGTCGAAATTTTTACAATGGTCCCTAATGCCTTCCGAGAGTCCAATTGGGTGGGTGGAACTATTCAATTTTCCTTTAAACGGCCAATTTATCGGTTTACAACTTGTACCTATTTAATTAAATCAAACCTACCACTAACATCTATGACAACATATAATGATCATATATTATTCCAAACGATATTATATGACCTCTAGATGTATTCCCTAAATTCTTAAGAGTTTGCAACATCAGGCCTCGAAACTACTAAAATTTCTCAAAAAGCGTAGATATTAGCCTTTATCTTTGAAAAAAAATTTACTTTTTTTTTGCCCGAAAATAAAAACTGTCGAAATGTTTACCTTGGTCCCTAATACCCTCTGGTAGTCCAATTAGGTGGATGGAACCATGCAATTTGCCTTTAAACGGCCAATTTTCCGTTTTACAACTTGCACCGATTTCATTAACTCAAGCCTTCCACGAAGATTTATGACGACAAATAGTGATCATATATGCTTCCAAACGATATTATATCACCTCGAAACGTATTCCCTCGAAACTCAAGGCTTTTCGATACGGGACCCGACTTGAACCGAGATTCACCCAAACCCGTTTTAACTCGTGAAAACCCGAATTTAACCTAACTTGTTAATAATCTGAAATGATATCAACCTGACCCGTTCATAATCCCACCTGAATTAATTTAACCAAACCTATTACAAACCCGACCCGATATCAACCCGACTTTTTATTGACCTGACTCAAATTAAACCTGACTTGTTATTGTTCTGACTCGAATTTTACCATACCTATTACTAAACCAACCCAAAAATTCAACCTGATACTAACCCGACTCGAAAATTAATATGACTTGTTATTGACTTGACTTATATTCAACCAATTTTTTTCTCACCAAATCACCTTTAATGCAATTTAGACCACCTTATTATTATCAATCAAAGCATTATGTCTTGGGAGACCAAGTCGGTGTAGGCCAACAAAAGAAATAAGTATCATCCTCAAATTTAAGGGTTAAATATAGTATATATTTGTTGTATGGTCAAAGGAGATAATTATCTTCCTAAATTATAGACCATAGTTCCCTAGTATATTGTCATATATATTATAGTCAAAGAAATTATTGGCTTGATAAAAATGATAATTATATACTACCTCCGATCTAAATTACTCGCAACTCTGGGGTATTATTTGTGAGATATAAAATATTCCAAAGTTGCGAGTAATTTGGATCGGACGTAATATTTATATTTAGTTGATCCCGAATATGATCTGACTTTGAAATGACCCGACCTGATTGTAACATGCAAATTATTAGCTTGAACATAACCCGATTGGAACTAGAGAATGACCCGACCAGATTGTAATCCGCAAATTATTGACTTGAACTGAACCCGACTCAAACCCGAGAAATTACCCGACCTGTTTCTAACCCGCAAATTATTGACTTGAATCGAACCCGACTCGAATCCGAAAATTACCCTAACCCGTTTTAACCCGTGAAAATCCGAATTAAACCCGACCTATTATTCACCCGACTTGTTATTAACCCGACCTAAACCCGACCCAAACCCGATAAGAAGTATGACCCGACTTAAGCATGACCCAACCCAAACCCGACCTTCATAGGTTGTGGAATTAATCTTAATTGACCCAACCCGAGTTGACCCGACCTACTTCTACCCAACCCAAACCTGTCCCGTTTAGCCGATTTGACAACTTTATTTATTACTTCTCTAAAATCTAAGATTAAATACTAAATTACCTACCATCCTCAAAAAAAAAAAAAAAAATAGTTATACTTGAATGATTCTTTCCACAATTAAATCAAACAAATCCCATAATCACCAATATCATGCGTAACATTAACCCAGTAACAACGAAATTACATAATAACAAATAATGCAGTTTTTTAATGTTTCAATTCAGTTAATATTCAGCTTTAAACAGCCTCTAATAGACTAATATTACTCCGTAATATCTAAACATCATCTCTTGATAATACAATTAATGCAAGTCTCTCCCACTTTATCCAATGCTAATGTGGCTCATTAATAATCAGAAAATGACAGATAAGAATTTTCTTTCAAATAGCCAATCAAGTATTTGATATATTTGTCGGGACCTGGGTGGATTCGAACCACCAACCTACCAGGTTGTAAAACCTGGTCGCTCTACCATTTTGAGCTTACAGTTCCATTTATCATTCAGGTTTACGAGACTTCTTCCTTATAATTTGTGCTTAGAATTACAAAAACATAATACAATACTCCGTACTTCTATTAAGCATTGCTATGTAAATTTAATCAATATAATTAACATTTAAATGAAAAAACAAGTTTAACCATTTATAACATAGCAATTTTTTTTATTTTTTTTGGAACACAAGCATTTGTTTAAAGTAGAAGATACGAAGTATATACTAAGTGGAATATATAAACCGAGTACAAGATGTGGTATTTCCAAAAATTCATAGTTTCATCAAAAATATTTTTCCAATAAGAAAAAAACAAACAAGACTTTAAAATACTAGGCAAAAAAACACTTCCTCGAACAATAAAATTAATTAGATAAAATAAAAAGGCTTTTATTATCAAAAGCGGTTTTTTAAATAGACTGGAAACAAAACCAAAATCCAACAGACTGAAATAAGCTATAGTAAAATTACTAAATATTATAAAATTAAACAATCTTTTATCAAAACTTCAATAAAAAGGCAGATTTTCAACTTGAAAAGGAATTTCTAAATGGAATTTGCAGGAAAATACAACCAAAATTCAAGTATTCAACCACTTCCACCGTCCTGCAAGAGAGAACTGTAATAGACAATCACAGGTTAGGTTCATTAATTCACTAAACAAGCGTTTAAAATCACAAATTACCAACTAACAAAATCACAAGTAATATGGCAACCTTTCGCAAGGAAATGAAAGAATGAATAAAAGTACTGCACTAATTTAACTCGAAGATTAAACTCATATCCGTCTCCAACAGGCCTCTGACCAATCTAAGTAAATGGCCATCAACTACGAAATTATTACTGCAATAAATTTACAGAACTAAAATTGACAAAAGTGCTTAATATAAACAACATTTCACAAGAGAAGAGAACTTATCCACTTGACGTTCCTTGAAAATTTGCTTCAATTCATATTTAGAAAACCAAAGGCGGCGATTAAGCGCCTGTGTAACACATAATTTGCCTTTCCTTTTCCAATCAAGGCAACAGCAGCATCCGCATGAACAAAACAACCTGAAACACTCGAGCAAATACACCGGTACAGCAACTTGAAGAACCATATCGTATCTAACATATATCTGATGTACGGACTAGAAAGAGAACAAATCAACCACAAAAAAGGGCCGGCACATATCAAAGGTGTGAGACTAAAATTGTTCGACTGAAACAAAGGAACCCCGGCATCAACCAAAATCAATACCTTGCGCATTCAAGGTTTTAACTTCGGGTCTTCAGCTCCAGCATCCACTCCGATCCCTAGTCCTCAGCATCACTAACAATGGCATATCGTCGAACAATACCCATATACAAAAGCTTGCAACACCCATAATTTATACAAGTACATAGAATTCCTAGTAACACCTAGCACAACCTATACACAATTACTTTACAACTGATATCCTACTAGGGAGATCATTGATAACATCATCAATGTCACCATGGGATATTGTTGAAAATTAATAGACTTTAATATTTGCAAATGCAATAAATCTTTTTTATAGTAATAAAATGAATTGAAAAATATAGAAATTGCAAGAAAAAAAAGAAGCTAAAACTAGAGCAATGGCAAAAATAATTGAGACAAGTTAGTCTAGTAGGGCAGTTCAGTTCAGACAGTTGATGAATAAATTGATAATGATTTGGACTAGCACTGATTAATAAAATGGAATTCGATAATATGTGGTCAATTTAAATTGGCCAAGATAGTTGACGGTCATCGATGGTAATAAAACTATAAAACTATTGAACAATGGAATGATGCAATAATTTTAAAGGTGTAATCAAATTAATTTAAATTACAAATTGACTAACCGGTATGCTTTAATCATTGATTCCCTAATGAATGACCGTTAACTACTGATTAATGATATTTCTTCTAATTAAGACAGAACTACGTTATTATTTCATGTATGATAATTCAAGTTTAGCGACATAATAATTTCAATCCCCAAACCTAAACCAAGTAGACTCATGATAAATGAAGACCGAAATTGATAGTTAATGGAATATTCAACTGAGTATTAGCCAAGAAAATATACCTGTTAACCGAACGCTCCAAAGGATGAGACGGATATGATCGGGGCTGTCAATCGATGCATAACTACGATTTCAATCGAAGGAGAAGGAAACAGAAAAAAGGAGAGAAGAGAGACAGACACAAGCACACAGTGGGGAAGAGCCGGCCAAAACACCGTGCCATCTTCCCCAACAAACCACAAAAATGTTTCTTTTTTTATTAAGGGTTGACCTGCCAAGCGAGCGCACCCAACATGGCAAAGGTCGGATTATTTTCACTCACAATTTTTTTTCATCCTCACACAGAAATAAATCCTACCAGATTCAAATCTAATCAACATCATAAATCCAATACCATCATACTGGCAATACATACAAACCACCATTACAGCAGAGCAGCAACGAGCAGTTGAAAATCCACATATAATTTACGGTTTCACTTTAGCTTCACAGAACCTCGACCGTGTGTGAAATCACCATCAGCACGGGTTTCATAACGTTCAGCTTAGCCGTGAAAATTCATCATTCAAGTATATCAATCTGAGAAAAAGGTTAACACGAATCAGCTCGATATCTGAGTACTAATTAAACTTGCAAATTCTAAATCGAGTTCAGATTGAAAAACTTTAAGAATCTAAGATAAACCTAATCAAATTATTAACAAGAAACATAATCAACAAAAGATCTTGATAAATCATGCTCTTTAGTTGCATCAATCTAAGATAGACAAAATAAACATAAATCAGGAGAGTTAAGAACAATCGTATAATTAAAATCTTTTGACATATGAGATCTGCGTCAATAAGTCGAAGACATGCTAGTATATCATGTTCTTTGCAATCAAATCGTTTAAAATTTATGAAAATCAAGTTTTAATCGAAAGATCTTGCAGATATCATGCTATAACGTATAATCAATCAAAGTAATGAGACTAATTGAACAAAAATTACATAAATCAACAAGATCTGATAGTTTAAAGGCTCAGAATCACAAAACTATGATTTAAACAGGTCAGATCTGAAAACTCACCATCTCCGATGAATAATCTGCTTCTGATTGAGTACGATCTAGAGTATTTCGCCTCCAGAAATTGAAGAACGCAACAAACCCAGCATCATCACCGCCATAACAGTGTGAATCGGATTTGAGATATCATCCATTGACGGAACACGAAGAAATCATACTCGAAACGTAGATCGTCGAACGATCTGTTCGAATCAATTGAAAGAAATTCATGATTCAGATCTAAATAACGTAGATCTGAAAAATTCAGAGTTGCATAGTTTTTGAGAGGAGAGAGAAAAAGCGAATAAATGATAAGATTGAATGAATGACAAAGTTGTGAGGCGGAAGAGGGGCAATTTATTGATGAAGAGGGTGGAAAGGAACGGCTGAGATTAGATATAGGGATTTGGAATGGACGGTTAGATGGATGCTGACGTATTTAAGTCGGTTGGTGATAAATTTAGGTGGGTTTTTTTAATGGACGAGAAAATTCAAAGGCATGACAGATAAGAATTGCTTGTGTTTTGGTGTGCCGTCTAAGTTGGACACATGTTTAAAATTTGAACCCCTCAACATAAAATCTCTAGCCCTAGATATGCACTCGATGATTAAAAATCAAATCAAATACTAATAAAATTAAAATTAATTAAATTTAGAAAACCCGTATCATCGTAATACCGTATGCATAACTCTAAGGGTCTGTTCACATTTATTTAATTTCAGTTTAGTTCAGTCTGCTTCAATCAGTTAAGTTTAATTCAGCTTTTAATTTCCCTCTCTCATAAAATATTCATTTTAGCTCATTTTAGTTCAGTCAAGTTCAAATCAGTTCAGTTCAGTAAATGTGAACAGGCCCTAAAAACGTCTTGTAGCTAAGGACGGGTATTAGCTTGGTCAAACAAATTACCCTAAGAAAAAAAATCGCTGAAAGAGAAGTTGATGTTATAATAAAATTAATTTTAAAAAACTAATTTTAAAATTAAGTGCATGTTTGATTAGAAGGTATTTTCATAAAATTTAAAATTATCAGACAATAGCTAAAATATGTTGTGTTTAATTACAAAAATCAATCAATAGCTATATACTAAAAGACACATTAGCAATGACACATGTCATCTCTTGGTGTGTCTTTTAGTTTTGATTTTTTTTTTTTTGGTTAAAATTTATTTAATGTAAATTTTTAATAAGGTAAATAAAGATTAGCTAAAACGTAAATTGTCTTAATTGTACTAAATCAATATAGCAAGAGTTTATTTTATAATAATATGGTATATATATATTGGAACTTTAACAACCGTGCGTTGTTGCACGGGACCTAACCAATGTATATCCCCACATATTATGGGAAATAACTCACCAAGACACCTCTTATGTGAATAATTCCTACAAAGGCTACAATGTGTAGGAAATTGTTTTCTAGGAAATACTAATTCCCATATCAACCAAATACCTTTGCACGGTTGTACTGCAATTAGCAAGGGGGAAAAAAAAAACTTCCGGTGATATATGATTCATGCAGGAAATAATTTTCCATGTTGAACCAAACAAGTCGAGATCTAGTTAGTACGTAACTAAATATTGAGACACAAACTAGCTATAAATGAAATTAGCTTAAGATTTTATGTGGTATAATAAGTTGATTTGCTAATTAGCTTCCCATTAAAGTTGTTCATAAAAAGTTAAAAAGACAAATATTAACAAATTAAGAAAATATTCCATTTATTATATTGATTTGTTTGTGAATTTATCATACATTGTATTTATTTTTAAAGTCAATTATTTTTACATGATTAACTCGTTTTTATTGAATTGAACTTATTGTTACTAAGTAGTATTTTTTATGATAAAAGACAATAGAGACTATAGAATATATGCAAGGCTTAATTGCAATGGATTACCCTTAAATTTATAATGCCTTATTAATTTACTGTATTACTCTTTTTTTTCCTTTGTTTTTGGAGGAATTTTTACTGTATTATTTAGGGTATGTTCTCATTGACTGAACTCAGCTGAATTGAACTGAATTGAATTGAGCTGAACTGAACTGAACTGAACTGAATATTTATAAGAGAAGGAAATTAGGAGCTGAACTGAACCAAGCTGAACTGAACTGAGCTGATCTGAATTTCAACGTAAGAGAACAGACCCTTAGTATATGAATATCTAATGAGTATTTTGTCTAAAAAAAAGAATATATGATGAGTATAGTACAACTAGCTAGCTCTTTGACTTTTAAACTATTCATTCATATTATTATAAGCTTGACTTTGAACCTTAACTATAATTACAAAGCATATTAGACACGAAGTAACTTTATCATATGTACTTATATAATTCCTTTCCACAAAGTATTTATTTTTTAGGAAAACATAGTTTGATAATTTCATACTATGCATATACATTATTTTTTTTTGCTGCAAATAAATATAATTAAGTTGTTGGTTTATATACATATATAAATATATAATTAAGTTGTTGGTTTATAGATTTAAACACGAAGCTGGACAAAGAAAGTTATTGACTTTAAATTATTTTACATTATTAATGACTATTTTTCAATACTTGCATGGAATATTTTTCATAATATGTATTTATACTACGTATTTGATTTGACTTATTTTATTTGATTATGCTCTTATTAGACCTACTTCTTTTTTTTTTAGTTATTTGATAACTTATGAGCTAGAATACATGTTTTGAATTAGATTCTCTTATATACCTTACTTGTTAGGGTGTTAAACTTATGCCCCATTTTACAATTAGAAGGAAGGATTACATTATTTACAAGTGTTCAAAACAACTTCATGTTCCCTTTGTACATCCCTCGGCACCCAAAAAATAAGGTAATAAACTAAGGCATTGTTTGGTTGACAAACAAATTCATGGGATTTTTTATTTCCTAGGAAATGGATTTATGCATGCTTGTTTGGTTGAGAACAATGTAGGAATTGGAACTTTCTAGGAAGTTCCACTTCTCACAAAATGGAGGAATTAACTTACCTAGTCCCCCCTAGGTAAGTGGAACTTCCCATGGGAAGTGAAAATTCCCACATCCAACCAAACAATTTTTAGAAATTCCTAGTAATTACCATTTCATATGAATTGAGATTTCATGGGAATTTCTACTTCCCACATCCAACCAAACAAGGCCTAAGGTGTTGTTTGGTTCACATGGGTTAGAACTTCTCAAAAATTGCAAATTTATGGGAATTAATGTTCCTAGGAATTATGTAAAATTGGGACTTGTTTGGTTGCCTAATAAATTTATGGGAAGTTTATTTTCCTAGGAAATAGATTTCTATATACTTGATTGGTTGACATTTATGTAGGAAGTGGGACTTCATAGGAACTTCTACTTCCCACAAAATGGAGGAATTAACTTACCTAGTTCCCCCTAGGTAAGTTAAACTTCCCATGGGAAGTAGAAATTCCCACATTCAACCAAACAAAATTTGACAATTCCTAGGAATTACAATTTCATGGCCATTGAATTTTCATGGGAATTTCTATTTGCTCAATTCAACCAAACAAGCTCTTGTTTGGTTAGGACGAAGGAAGTTGCAAATCATGAGAATTTTGAGTTACCTAGGGAGGTTAGGTAATTAACTTTCCATATTTTGTGGGAAGTCACAATTCCCATTAATTTGCAATTTCTCTATTTACACTTTTTATTGTCAACCAAACAACTCACTCATTTGTAAATTCCCATAATTTTTCAATTCTCCTATTTTCTTTGTGTAATCAAATAAGCCCTAAAATGTTGTAAGCACTTTGTATGTAGTGTAGAAGAATCTAGACCAAGCAAGGCTGACACGGGCGGTTAAAGTATATGCTCTGTAGCTTCCCTCGTTGCGTTTGGTTCCCTTGTTACGTCATCATGAGAGAGACGTGTGTTTCAAATCTTTTAATACTACCTACTTGTATACTACGTATAATGTTAGATGATGCATTATTTCTTACTCCATTATATGTAAACCAAACTTTGTTTTAAAATTCAATAGTCTTTTGTTTTTTTTTTTTGACCAAGAGTCTTGAATTTTGATTGACTTTATCGTGTTTGTTGGTTTTTAATCAGTAATACCATTGTACAGAAATATACCGTGTATGTTTTGATGAGACTCAAGTACTCAACCCATATGAAAAAGTAATTCACCAATTGCATCATGTATCAATCCTTTATTTATTTATTTTTAATGTTTATTCAGTTAAGTTTAGATCTTAAAATTAAGGGTTCGTTTGGCATTGTTGTGGTTTTCTATTTCTTGGTTTTTTGTTTTCTAAGAGTATATGATATGAGTCTCATAATGAATAAAAAATTATATAATATTTATTAAAATTATGATAATTTTAAAAACTGACAACAAAAAAGTGGAAACACCTTTTTCTTGTTTCCTGTTTTTGGTTTAAAAAAAAAAAAACAAGAAACTGAAAACCAAAACTAATGCCAAACAAGCCCTAAATTGTTATTTTTTTTGTTTTTTTTGTTTTTTGGGCCTGTCATATATGTATTGTGGCCTGTGATACTAATCAATGCAAGGTTTGTAATGTTTGTAACGTAGCTTGGTATTAGATAGGTATTCAAATTTGTGGTATTAAATATGGATTACGGAGTAGTAGATACTAAGAGTAGCTATTTCAAAGTTCGTGGCATTAATAGTTAAAACATGTTTCTTCAAAGAGTAGTGAGCTTATTCAATTATTTTAATAACATATACACTGTTTAAATAAAAAAAAACATATATGTAGTACACAGTATGTCGCTAACTTAGAGCCTGTTCTCATACGTTGAAATTCAGTTTAGCTCACTTCAGTTCAGTTCATTCCTTCTCTTATAAAATATTCAGTTCAATTCAGTTCAGTTCAGCTGAGTTCAGTTAATAAGAACAAACCCTTAGTGTGTCTTAAACTATAACTAGGTTAGTTGTGAAGGGTTCAACCTCATATAACCCTCTCCCTAGTCAAAAATAAATAAAAATAAGAGTATAATTTTAGAAAACATTTGTAATACTACGTACTGCGTATTGCAAGTACTTCCATCAACAAAATCTTTATATGTGGGAACAATTGGATTAGGAAGGCTGTATATGGTGAGGTTTTGTGACGATTTGTGAAGTAAGGTGTTTTTTTTTTTTTTTTTTTTTTTTTTTTTTTTTTTTTTTTAAGTTTTTTGATGAGTTGGAATATTAAGCACATTCAATTTGCTATTTTTTCAAAGAAGACCATAATTATCCAATTGTTAACACTTAGCAGTTAGCATCACCAATGACAAACTAGCTTAGCTACCAAATTAACTATCCATATATACCAGGTAAGATTTCAAGGTAATTCATGTGCCACCATTTATTTAATTAATAAACCCCACTCATTTTGATCAGTTTTTAAAATTTGTTAGGCCTTTTAATGTGTATATAGTTGGGCCAATGTATAAGCCCTAATATACTATGTGCATACTGTAATACAAAATACAGAAATCTATTAGAAATTTTACTAGTCTCTCATCTTTTAGAAATATAGTTCCATCATCAAGCTAGCTATTATTAGCTTAATACTTTTGAAGTTTGTAAGCAAGATCCCTAATTAACTTAATAATCGAACCAAATAAAGCATACGTCATCAGATCAATTTATGATAAAACAACAATCTATGGAATCCAAGCAAACAACATGATCAAGAGAAGGTTAGATTATAATATCCGGATGAAAAATATCTCATTACAGAAATTTAAGTCTCCATAATAATTTCTTCAATTATTATCCTTCAAAACCTCGACCAATATAGTTGCTCACAGGCATATTCCTGAAAATACCAACAAAAAAAAAAAAAAAAAAAAAACCCTCAATTAGACATAAAAATGGGTAAAATACATGGAATTTTAAACAACTTTTAGTAAGAAGTATTATGGAGGTATTTATTACCGTTTAGGGAACAAATATTCCCTGATTCTCCAAGCACTTCAGAAAACCGCACTTAGCGTAGTATTGCCAGCCCTCAGGATCATAATAATACTACATTATGAAAAATCGAAAAAGAAGTCAAATAAAAAAAGTAATTAGCGTTTTAAAATTAAACCACTCTATATCTCCTTCGGATAAAAATTTAAGAGCAAATATACAAAATAAATCATAAAATAAGACAATTAATACGAGTAATAATCAACACCGACCAATAGATTTGTGGCTTTATTATTTGCTCAAAACCTAACGTGCAAAACACTCTTTCCTTTCTTTTTACTTCTATAATACAACATAAATAGGTTATTAATCATCTTCTTCTCCGGCTTTACTTTTAAAATTAGATCTAAACTTTTAATGACAATCAAATAGTAATTGATATTTTGAAAGGAAAGGAATCAACCAATGGCCTGGTTTCCTATTAACCTTATATATCCTTTTTGTTGTTGTGCAAACATCAAAACTCCAATGGACGAAAATCAATAAGATCAGCATTTGAAGTAAAATAATAAAAAATGAGTAATTCTTGATATTAGAGGGGTTTTCTACGTAACTACTAACAACCAATGGTTGAAAGCTTGAAACTTGTATATGAGTCAACCAATTTCAAGGAAATACCAAGCCGAAAAACGTGACACCCCTCTAATATCAAGAATTACTCAATTTTATTATTGCACTTCAAATGATGTTTTAGCTGGTTGAAAATTGAGCAATTATAATTCAAAATTTTAAAGCAAATATAACGGAGTATAGAAATATTAAATATTTTATTTGTTCAAAAAAAAAAAATTATTTATTTGGTTTTACAAAAATGTTTAATTTATACGAAGTATATTTTACCGAGTAGTATTTTGTCCATATAATTAAAATGGTTCCCTCTAAATCTAAAATTTCTACCAAAAATTGATTCATTTAAAATAGGGTGGTAATTCGGGTCAACAAGTCGGGTTTGGGTTAGATTTCAGGTCGATTTCGCGTTGTCTTAGAACTATTAAAAATAGTGTAAAACTTAATATTACTACCTCCGTTACATATTATTTGCAACGATTAGACATTTTTCATTTCTACTTTATGTCAAATCGTTGCAAATAATATGTAACGGAGGTAGTATTACAAAATATGAAATTTGGGTCAAATCAGGTCAAATTCGGGTTGTTCAGGTTCAGGTTTGGTCTACTTGGGTCAAGTTCGGGTTTCTCTGTGACTTCGGGTCAGATATGGGGTTGAGTTAGGATTTGTTAGCCCTAAAATAAAAGAATAAATTTAAGACTTTAAAGTTTATTTCTTCTCATCCATCTCCTCATAAACTAAATGAAAATGAATTTTGTTTAAAATGTATATTTAAAATGTTAAGAAATTTACTCACACAAAGTTTATATGTAATAAAGTCCTTAAATCAAAATTAAGAATTGCATGTAAAATATATACGCAAAACATTGAATCAATAAATTAAAATATTTCAGATTCATAATACATATATATACACTCAATAACATTTTATATAGAATCATTTAAGACGTGTACACTCAAAACTCATCGATCTACTTTAAAATCAATTTCAATTTAAATTCTTTTCGCCCTAAAAATTAAGTTTTATAAACCGCTAAAACCACTAATTATTAAAACATTTCAAAATAATTACACATAACACAAATTCAAAGATATTTTATGATAATTCACTCATCAACAAAAATTATCACTCAAAATTGTAAATAAATCAAAAAATGAAAGCGAATTTAATTTATGCATATATATATACCTTATAGACCTTTCCAGTAGCATGAAAACGCTCTTCAACAAGGCAGCCTGGAGGAAGCCAATGGTATTGAGGGGAGCTCATGTCATGGATGAATGACTCCCCGCCGTCAAAATCGGGGTAGGATATACGCATCTTAACTCGATCTCCCAGCTTGTTCAGGGTTGCCCGGGTTTCGACCGTTAGCTCGTACTGGTCACCCCTGACCATCTTTGATCTTCTTGAGGAGCTTGAAGTAGGCTTCCTTGCCATTTTTTGGGGGGCTTAAAGAGTGAAATAATAGGAGAAAGTAATGAGAAGAGAGGGGGTTGTATACTTGTATGTATATATAGGCAAATAGTTTTATGTTTTGGCTATATGCCCTAAAATTTGTTCATATTTCATTTGATATCCTTTTTCTTTAGGAGGTTTTTTTTTTTTGTGAAAAAAATAAAATAAATTTTTGATGCATGCAAAAACAATTTCTCGTCATTGCTAGTGTAAGATTGTATGGATTTCAATACTAAATATTGCTCTAATTGTGTGCACCAAAAAAAATATTGCTCTAATTGTAAGAATTTAACAATCTATGGAGTATATTTGGTACATACTCAGTACAACCGTACATAATAGTACGGAATACATATTACTTTAGTCAATTGATAAAACTGTCGTCCTTGTTTATTTTTCACCATCGTAAATGAGTATATATAATTATTAAATTAAAATCTATTCATTTAGTCGAGTGCTTAGGTGAGTATACAATTTACAAATGATCATTTCTTCTATGTCGTTAGGCAATTTAAGTTTGCTAAAAACATTGAGGTCCAAATTGTACATTTAAAATTATTTGCTCAAGTAGTCCTTTAAATGTGACAATCTTGAAAATAAATGTTGGACAGTACAATAATGCAATGGTTAATAATGTTGGACAATAATGCTGGTTAATAATAATCATAATTGCTGATAACAATCCCAAAATGAGGAGATATGTTACCTTGTTGAGAGAAGAAAAAATCAATAAGAAACTGGCGAATCATGTCTGATATCCTTGATATCCAATCCAAAAAGCAGATAGAGTTTTGCACAATCTCTAATTAGTCACACTATCCTTCAAAATAAAAAAATAATAATAAAAAAAAATTAAGTAGTCACACTATCTCATATGTTTAGTGAGTAGTCACACACTCACACTCACACTCACACTCACACTAGTCTTGTTTCATGAGAACGTTTTTGAGGACTTAACAAGCAAGCAAGGTCGTCCTGCAGGGGAAAAACGTTACTTGGTAATTTGAATGGTCAAAGTATAATCAAGCTAAGAGCCTGTTCTGATTGACTGAACTGTAATAAACTAAACTTATTAAAGTTGAACTGAACTGAACTGAACTTATTAAAACTAAAATGAACTGAATATTTTATAAGAGAAGGAAATTAGGAGCTGAACTGAACTGAAAATAATCTTATCAGAACATACCTTAAGTATTCATATATACCATTAAGGTTTGATCTTATGTACATAAATACTACCTATATAAAATGTAAGTTGTGTATGTGTTACTCGATCTTTAAATTTTATAGTACACCTTATTAATTCATTTGGATATAGGTATAATATATACAACGAATGTAACAGTAGGTTTTCTCACGTGAATATATAACGATTAATGAACGTAACAGATTTTAATCAGGAGTTAAAATTACATTACAACAAACTTAATGGCTTTTTAAGGGATTATTAATATTGAACATAATGGCTTTTTAAAGACCTTATAGAGAACATAACAGATTATAATCCGGTAATTATAGTATAACGAACTTAACGACCTTTTAAGAGATTATATTCTAATACCGAACAGAATGACTTTTTCCAAGATTTTATATAGAACATAACAGATTTTAACTAGGTAATTACAGTATAACGAACTTAACGACCTTTTTAGAAATTATTGACACCAAACATAATGACTTTTTATAAGATTTTATGCCAAACAAAATGGATTTTATCAGGTAATTAATTACAGTACAATGAACATAACGACCTCTTAAGAGATTATTAATGCCGAGCATAGTGAATTTTTAAAAAGTTTTTATACCAAACATAACATATATCAGGTAATTACAGTACAAAGAACTTAACGACCTTATCAAACATAATGAATCTTTACAAGATTTTATATTGAACATAACGAATTTTAATTAGGTTATTAAAATACAACGAACTTAACGAACTTTTAATTAAGAGATTAATGATACCAAACATATGACTTTTTAAAAGATTTTATTCTAAGCTGTACAAATTAGATTTTAATCAGGTAATTAATCACTGTACAATAATGAACTTAACGACCTTTTAAGAGTTTATTAATTAATACCGAGCATAGTGACTTCTTAAAAGATTTTATGTCGAACATAACGGAATTAATCAGATAATTATAATACAGCGAACTTAATGACATTTTAAAAGAATTATATAATACCGAACATAATTGCTTTTTAAAAGATTTTATATTGAGTATAACGGTACACTACGTGAAAAAATGAATTTGTCACCGGTTCAAACCCGGCCTAAGGCACCAGTTTGAACCAGTGCCAATGTGAGGGGTGCCAAAAAGGGGTTTAAAAAGGCACCGGTTCAAACCGGTGCCAAAACTTGAAATTGGCACCGGTTAACCGGTGCCAAAAATGGGTTTAAAAAAATGTGGAATTGTTTTTGGCACCGGTTAACCGGTGCCAAAAGTGCCAAATATTATAATTTTTTTTTTTAGAACATCAAACAATTAAAAATCGAATCAAATTATTTAGAACATCAAAATATAGATCGAATTTCAATCAACATAATCAAAAATTTACAATATATAATCAAAACAATTTTACAATATACATCAATACAGTAGTAGTTCAATTACAACATATAAAAAAAATTACAATATAAATAAAAAAAATAAGCTCAATATTCTTGCATCTTGAATTCTTGATTCTTCCCTTTAAGATCTAACTCAAGATACCTACACGAATTAAAGCAAAAAAAACGATTAATATAATCAAGCTTCCAAAAAAATTAAACCCAGAAAAAATTAAAGAATTTCGAATTTAAATCGAATAAAATAAAAAAAATCGAAAAATAAAAAATAAAATCAGTTGATAAGAAAAAAAAACAAAAACCCAGAACATCATTTAAAAACCAAAATTGAACCCAGAAATTAAAAACCAAAATCGAAAATCTGGAAAAAAAAACTCAGAAAATAAAAAAATTGCGAATTTAAATCGAAAAATAAAAAAGAAAATCCCAAAACAAACCCAAAACAACAAACCCAGAACAAATCTTGCATCTTTAACGGATCTAAATCAAGTAAAAAAATCAACAAACCCAGAACAAACCCAAAAACGCATGCATTAACCCAAAATCGATTATTGTAACCGAAAATTAACCCAGAAATCGAAAAACAAAATCAAAATCGAAAAAATAACAATCGAAATCGAAAAAAATCAAAAGGAAAGCCAGAAAAAATAACAATCGAAATCGATAAAAATCAAAAACCCAGAAAAAAAAATTAAAATCGAAATCGAAAAAATAACAATCGAAATCGAAAAAAATCAAAAACCCAGGAAAAAAAATTAAAATCGTAAAAAAAAAACCGAGAAATCGCTGAAAAAAAATCAAAATCAATTGAAAGAAGAGTTTGAAATTAAAAAAATCAAAATCGAAAAAAAAACTATTAAATTCGAATGAAAAACCTCAAAATCGATTGAAAAACCTCAAAATCCGTGTTGCATCTTGTTGTCTTCGAATTTGTTGGTAGTTTTCGAGTGATAATAGCAAGGAGGAGGAGATCTAGAAAGATAAATGAAGGATTGAAGGAAAACGGCGACGCGAAAGAGAAGGAGAGGAGAGAGAAAGAGGAGGAGGAGGAGAGAGAAAGAGGAGAGGAGAGGAGAGGAGAGAGAACACGGGCGAAATACTTAGGGTTGGGGGAGTTATAAGGGCGGGTTTTTTTTTAATATGTAAAGGAACCGGTTCGATTTGGCACCGGTTCAAACCGGTGTCCTTTTAATTTTTGGCACCGGTTTAGGCTGAACCGGTGCCTTTTCTATTTGTGTAAAATTGCGCCCAATTTTGGGCCGGTTTGGCCTGAACCGGTGCCTTTATGGGGGTGCCTTATTGTAATTTTCTACTAGTGGTAGTAGATCATTTATTTAATTGTCTACACTACTACTCGATATATAAGTCGTGGATACATAACATCTATTTTTTATTTTATTTTATTTTATTTATTATGGAAGATAGGTTGATAGTCCATAAGACATACAAGGAGTAAACTAGGATGCTTTTTAATTAGTCAAGTACATGAAAGACATCAGACATGTATATGCAACTATGCAAGTTCCTCTCCCAATTCTTCTAATGTATATATGCATGGAGAGGTGGTAACTGGTAAGCATTCAACCTCCCAACCTCATGAAATTAGGGAAATCTGTGATACTAACCTGTAGCCTTACTCCTAGTTTGAATGTATGATCAACCTCAACCTCAACCTCTTTATAATTTATGCTTATTTGGTTAAATATAGACCCATATCTTAATCATATTGATAGTTAAAATTGCTAATCAAGTAATTAGCTAGTGTTGGGTGTTTTATTTATTTATTTATTTTTGTTGTTGTAAAATCAAATATTTAATATGTACTTGAATTGGCCTGGTAGGTAGCAATTTTAAAGATAGGTGGGTGTAGCAATTTCACAGATATATGGAGCACAATATTACAGTCTTCGATTACTTAATGAGAATTATTTAAAATATTTTAGAAAACATTAAGTTCCTTTTATCAGACAAAGTCTTGCTCATTTTTTTGGGCAATTGGATTTTGTAAGGATGTGTATGGGGTGGCTTTTTAAAGAAATTTTTTTATCAAAATAATTTTTAAAAATCAAGGTAAGCATAGTATGAATTGTTTTGAAATAATAAGCAAGAAAAACAATACTATTCCAATTTATAATTGATGAAATAATTTAATTAAAGAAAAGTAAGCAAATTAAGACAAACTTAAGGGAAAAAATTTTGGGTAAGGATTTGTGAGATAGACAGTATTAAGCAAATTCAATAATTTTGCAAATTTTCAAAGAAGACCATAATCATTCATCAAATAGTGAAACACTTAAAATCATCAAATTATGTCGAAACAATTGTCTTCGCAAGTATTCCAAACAAACTACATTCTTAAATTAAGAGAAGTTCAAATAAAACAAGATATAGTTTATTATGGATATTTATTCTTCCAGACTTCGACCATGTAGTTGTCCAGCAGCTCAAGAGTCCTGAAAATACCAAAAAAAATAAACAAATTAATTAGACACGGAAATGCGTATAATACGTGGAAATTAATATTAAACGAAATGTATTATACTATTATGCATTATACCTTTTTAGAAGTCAAGAACAAAGATTCCATGCTTGGACCAGTGATAGAGTACTTCATATTTGGTATTATACAGATTGCCCTTAGGATCATAATAATACTACATTTTGAAAAAAAAAAAAAAGTTAGATAGAAATTCATAAGCTATTTAATTAATTAAATACACGAAACCTCTTATATATATTTAGTTAACAAGGCTACACGTATATACAACAATACGTCAATACATGATCTAGCAAGACTTGATTTAGTGGAAAAATTTGCATCTTACAATTTGATAATGATGTTATGGAATCAGATCAAACCCCGGCCCATTAAAGACATTTTGGGGTGGGAATTTCCTTACACACTTCCCTTACTCTCAAAAGGTCTAACCCGCATGATTATATATATATATATATATATATATATATATATATATATGTAATTTGTTAAATTTTATTAATTTTGACTATCAAAAGTCAAAATAGTACCAATGCATTTTAGGACGGAGAGAATACAATTTCTACTTAGCTAGTTTATAATCAATTTTTAGAATTAAATATAAATAAAATTATAAAATAGTTTATTTGGGTGCTCTCTAGATATATAATTATATATTTTAATTGGTTCACTAGACGTCTAGATCTAATTTCTACCAAATATTCGATTGACATACAATTATACAAACATAAATTTCGAGTCTTGAAAGTATCATCTCGTCTATCTTCTCGCAAATTGAATGAAAATATTTAAATTTTGTTTAGAATGTATATTTATAATCATTTAATTAAAAATTAATCACACAAATAATTGTGCATACATGTAATAAATTCTATAAATCAAAATAAAGATTATTTGCATGTAAAAACACATTAACTCGAATAATTTTTTTTGGATTAATATATACAAGCTTGACATTATTTAATTTCGTGTCAAGACCTTTAAAACATGTTCACTTAAACCCCGATCTTAACAAGCAAATAATTAAGGCCTTGTTTGGTTCACCTTATTTTTGCTGATCTGATTTAGTTTGATCCGATTTGAATGTCGGATTTGACCAAACTTTGACCTTAAATATACGATAATCTATACGAAAAAAAATATATCAAGTGGGGTCTTGTTAGATTTTTAATAACGTGTACTACGTATTTTATTAATATGTGATTTTCATAATTTTTTTCATTACAAAATTAAAGATATATAGCAATAGAAAACTGCACATAAAACGATGATCTGATCTAAACTTATTTTTTCTGCTCCGATCTGATGTGGACTTATTTTTTCTAAAATAAGTTAAAATAAGGTGAACTAGACAAGGCCTAAATTGATCTTATTTTTTGTTTTGAACGAAAAACAAATCGATCTCATTTTAATTTCACTTTGCCTTAAATTCTAAGATTTATTAACCACATAAAACACTTCTAAAATTTGTTAAAATTACTCATAACATATATCTACTAGAAAATATTATCAGTCAATAGATTCAAGAGAATTCATCAGCCAAAATTTGTAATTCAAAAAACAAAAAAAAAAAAAAAAAAGAAATCAACATTTAATTTCAAGGAGGGAAAAAAAAAATGTAAATAAACAAATAAAAGAGGAGAAATGAAAAGGATTTATTTATAGCATGCACATACGTACCTTATAGACACGTCCATTACCAAGAACACGCTCTTCAGCAAGCCATCCTGGAAGAAGCCAGCGGTATGAAGGGGAGCTCATATCATGGATGAATGACACCGTCCCGTTAGGATCGTTGCCGGTAATACGTGCTTGCCCTCGTGCCCCCAATGTGCTCAATGTTGACATGGTCATGGCTGTTGGCCTGAATCTGTGCTCTCTCATCGTCGCGTTGTTAGCCATTGTTTTGGGGGGTGAAAGAGTGAAAAACACAAGAGAAAGGAATTAAGGAGCTTAGCAAGGCTATATGGTTAATTGGTATGAGAGGGGTGTACATGTATATATAGTCGAGGTGGAGTTTATGTTTGGGTATTAGGGCCTTAAATTTTTTAAATTGCATTAGGTACCCTTTTGCTTTTGGAGGTTTATTTTTATTTATTTAATTTTTATTTTCAATATATTCAAAACACATATTTATTATAATCACTTATTAATTAAAAAAGCTGAGAGTGAGGGATAGCTCAAGTAATTAGAGTTTTTTCTTCCGGCTCCAAGAGATTCAGAGATTGATTTTCACCCCACCCTTGTGGCTCTCTAAACACCTAAAAAAATAAATAAAATAAATAAAAAAGCTTAGTATAAGATTGTAAGTATCAATTTCTATATTATAAATATGATCCATATTTTGTACATACACCAGTCCATACTACTAATTGTATTGTATATAGAAGTATGGAGTTTTGAGAATTATTTTTTCTTACACGTCGTTGATATATAAGACATAGTGATTTAAATTAATTCTGTATGCTAGTGAGATTGGTCCAAAATATAATTTTATTTGCTTAAGTAGTCCTTAAAATGTTGCAATTTCGAAAATAGAGTTTTGACGAGGATGGAAAGTTTAATAATTATAATTAGTGAGGTAATAATCATAATTGGTGATATTGATCCTTAAATGAGGAGATATTTACCTTATTAGAGAAAAGCTTATTCACAAAAAAATCAAGAAGAATTGGGGAATCGAGTCAGATATCCTTGATCCTATCCAATGGATAGAGGATAGTCATTGGTCACACTTTTCATTAGAAGGTTGTTTAGGGCTTATTAGGACTTGGGAGTTAACAAGCAAAAATGGGAAAACGTTGCTTGTATTTTCAATGTGTATGTCCACGTATAATCAAGTTAGGGCCTGTTCTCATTGACTGAACTGAATATTTTATAAGAGAAGAAAATTAGGAGCTGAACTGAACTGAATTTCAACGTATGAAAACATGCCCTTAATGTTTAAGAATAGGGTTAGTGTTATATGGAATGTTTTTTTTTTTTTTTTTTTTTTTGAGGAAAGTGTTATATGGAATGTAATAAGTTGTGTATTTGAGTGATTCCGTAAAAATTAGCAAATATCAGTGTAATTTGATATATGTAACATAAATTAAAATGTTAGGTAAATATAACAAATTTAACAGATCTTTAAAGGTAAATTACAAAGAACATAATAAGCTTTTGAAAGAATAAATACCTAACAAAACGGTTTTCAAAATAATTAAATATTGAACTAACGGTAGATCATTTAACTGGTTTATCCGTATCTCACTTCTCCTATATTTGCCTTATATTGTTATATTAGCCATAAATGACAAAAATTATAAATGTAACAAAATTTTCTACTTATACACAATGAATGTAACGGAATTTCTCTATCATATTTTTCTTCTTTGCGATTGTTGATTTTTACTGAACTAAACTTAACTTAATTTAAAAATCTTAAACTTTTTTTTTTTTTTTGATAAACGGCCTCAAGGGCAACTAGCTTTCATTTAACGGGGAATCATTGAGTACAAGAGGTATAATACAACTCGGAAAATCCGACAACCATACTCTCCTCTTAGTGCCCCAAGGCAAAGCAATGAGCTAGCTCATGGGCT